CCCCTTCTCCCCCCCGAACAAATTAAGCCATGTTAAGCTGTATACATACCTACCAATGGCGAAAGATATTAAATGTGTACAGCTCTTAAAGAATAAAGATGACTGTAAAGGAGGTGGCTTTACAGAAGGATAGAGGTAGTCATCCTGTATATTTTTTGTTTTAACATTTTCTCGTTTTTTACTCAAAAGACTCAATTTCATGTACAGCTATTTGTCCTGTTAATTAATGGGCTTGATGTAGTCATGAGTTATCATATATTTTGTATACCTGAGTTTTTTTCAAGGGATGCCCAGCAGTCAATGAGCTCAAATGTTGTTTGAGCTGTCCTGTTCTGTGCTTTAACAGCTAGATCAAGCATGGGAAGCATTGCTGTGCGATCAGTTATCATGTACTGTGAGCTACCATAAACCGCATCACAACTGAAACAAAACAGCTATCTTCTGTTCCAATCTGTATTGAATGAACAAAGTTGTATTTAATGTAATTTGAATCTTGCACACATTTAGATTTCTTAACAGGTTACCAGGGAATTTTATGAAATTCTGCATGATGAAATAAAAATATTTTTCTCACTTTTTGGTGGTTAATCACGGGAAGGTACTTCAGTTGAGTAAATTTTAGTAGCATGTCACATATCATTTCCTCAAACATACCATTTCAAAGGACCTTGTCTTTGATAGGGAATGAATACATGGCACATGATCAGGACTTTTAGTTCATGAAGTACTTGGAAGAGCATAGTGTGGAAAACACAGTTCAAAGAATTGCAAAACCAGAAATCTGTAAACCAGACTTTAAAATATTCAGATGTCATTTCCTGGCCTTCCACTTGAATGCCTGGGTGCTTACTAGGGAGGTATTATATATACTGGCTGTTATGTGCAGTTGTACAATTAGAAATGTTGAATTGAGTAGTATTCATGCTCTACAGGAAAGTGGTTTACAACATAATCATTAAAGTAAATTTTAACTTCTAGGTGTAGTGTGTGTTTCAGGTATGTAGTATTCTGAGTGAAAGCCATTAAATGAGGCACCCAGTAATGCACTTTATTATGCTGCAGAAATAATTGTAAGCAGGTGTTTAGATTACGTACTTCTTTGCTATATGTAGTACACATCACAAATGTTTTTGTGGCTGCCTTTTTTTCAAAAAGTGAGAATGTATGAAAAAAGATTTCGTTCTTTGTGATTCAGGTCATTGAAATCAGTTTCCTTTCATTGTATGTGGTTATCAAGAATATTAACTCATTGGGAGACCAGTGCTACCTAAACTAATGGACCTACTTAAAAAAAAGGGTGCATTCATAATGAATAACACTGTAACAATTCTGATTTTATTTGAGACTTTATAGGGATCAAGACCCTTGTGATTTCAAAGAACTCAATTTAGTACTCTCAGGACCTGTATTTGGGTCATATAGTGCTGTAGATAACAATGAATACAACAATTTATCTAATCTTCTGCTGTTGCAACAAATGCAGCTTATTGGAAGGACTCAGTTGCCATTTACAATTATTTTAAATTTCATTACCCTAGTTCTGACTCTTAAATAAAATGAGAAATCATTTTCATCTGTTTGAATACTGATTTCTATGTTGTAGGACTAGGTTATTAAAAATACTATATTTTTTTGGCAAGGAAATCTCGAGTCTCCTTTTTCTGCTGTGAATCAAGAAAGCCCTGGTGTTAGACTTGTATACAGACTTCCTGTATGTTAATTTCTTTAATGGCACAAAACTGGAGATAGTTTCTCTTTCCTATATTGCAGTACAAAAGATGGTATATATTGCATATTTCAGCCTGTACAACTGATTTTTTTAATTATTTTTTATTTTCGATTCTCAAGCCATAGCCTTTAAAGGAAATTAGATAATAAGAGTAATCTGTCAAATTTGCATGTTCTTTGCTTTCAGAAATTAGCACCTGGAGTTAGTCAGTTTGCTTACACCTGTGTACAAGATCATCCTATCTGGACTAACCAGCAGTTTTGGGAAACAACCTTTTATAGCAACGTGCAAAATCAAGTTCGCTCCCTCTACCTAGCAGCCAAAGACGACAACCATGCAGTACAATTGAGACAAAAGGTAGGAGGATATATTAAATAAAGGTAATATTTTTATTCACATATTAATTGTCTCCGAAGTTATAGAGAGCTAAGTTATGGTTTCTCCAATTTTACGTATTTTTCTTTCGTTTTTCCCATACTAACCAGCATACAATAACACAAAAAATAACAAAAATTTACATTTATCTGCAAAGCATTATAAATTGATGTTGCTCTTAAGATTTTTCAAACAACTACTTTTTGTATAATTCTCCACACTTTAAAGTGTCTATTTTTCCTGAGAGTAGTAACTTATGGTGTAGCAACGTTACAAATGAATGACAGTTCTATTGGATGAACAATCTAAGCTAGCAGCACTTCTAGTGTCCAGTGTTAGATTATTACCAAACCCTAGGGTGATCGCTGTTGAAAAGCACTCAGTCTGCTTTATTAAAATTGGACAGATCTTCAGAACACAAATTGTCTTAGTAGGAAGAAAGTATATCTCTAATGCAAAAATGAAAGTACTATGGGAAGCCTTGCAGCATGCTAAAATAAGATTTTGTTTGGTTGGTTTTTTAAGAAGGAGCACATACACGTGGTAAAGAGCCATTTGTAATCTCTCTTCTTGTATGAAAATATTATCAACTACGTGACTGAGAAGTGTATACTACCCAAAGTCATACAGTGTTAGAGAGGAAGTAAAATACAGATATTGCCAGAAATGTAGTCAGAATGAAGAATTGAAAAGGCATGTCAGACATAGCAGGGATAAAGAGAGAAGGACTGTGGGTCAGTGTGGGGAGCCCCTTCCAATCTGACACTGTGTAAAAAAAAAAAAAAACCAACCAAAACGTAAAGAATAGTAGAACTTACAAGGAAGCATCTACTTTAACCCTTACATGTATTTATATGGAAAATGAGCTCAACTTTAACTTAGTTTTGAAAAAACATTCACAAGGTACCTAGTCCTTTAATAATTTAACATCAGGCATTAGGTCACTAATATCAGCTGCCAGTTTCCTTTATTCTAACTTCCTCAGGCTATAATACAATTTGACTATGTGCCAGCTACCTAGTTTGCTTCAAGCAAGTGCTAGAATTGGACTCCAACATGTGAAAACATGAATGTTTCAGCTGATATGGAAACTATGGAAACTATATAAAAGCTTGCCTCGCCTGAACATCCTAGGCATTTGGAGAACATCATCTGCATCAAGCAATGAGCTGCATGTTATTTCTCAATCTGATTTATGCTTGTTCTGATGTTAGCTAAGTGGATAAGCTGAGGAGAGCAGCTACATTAAAATCAGTAAACCACTCTGAAGAAACATGGAGATCATATAGCATAAAAAAGATCTAGAAAGAAATTATGTTATTTATATCTGTCCACATTGTGCTACTTGTATATTTCAATAAACTGCCTTCAAAGCTCAGTTACTAATCGTTAACTCTTTTTAAACCCTATTGACTGTAGTTATTTGCTTTTTCTTTTTAAATTAATGTATAATTTAAATAACTGAAGAAGTGTAATAAACAATTTAATAAATAAAGTTTTGACTAGGTTTTTTTTTTCAAGTTAAACCTTTATTATTTCTTCCATGTCTTTATATTTCTCTCTGTATATCTTCTAGGAGAAAAATCCTGTAGGTCCAGACCAGGATAAGACAGCAATGGACCTGGCTGCTGAGCAGTTGCGATTATGGCCAACTCTTAATAAACAAACTCAACAGGAGCTAGTCCAGAATGAGGAAAGTACAGTTTTCAGTCAGGCAATTCATTTTGCTAACCTCATGGTCTACCTGCTAGTCCCACTGGATACAAGTAAGAACAAGTTACTAAGAACATCAGCTACTGGTGACTGGGAGAGTGGAAGCAACAGTATTGTCACAAACAGGTGGGTACACAAGTTCAGTTCTAATCAGTCAGAGTGGGCCACAGTTTTGAAAAGCTTCTTAGTTTTCAGGACTTACTCTAAATACCAGCTTATTTTTGATATCTTCTCTTCTTTTCAAGTCCATTAATTAAGGAGAGCAGAAGTCTAACATGATTCCTTTTAAATAACAGAACTTAATCAGGAGTAATTTACCACCATTTAAAAGAACATAAGAGTTTTGTTGTTGCAGGAAGAATTTTTAATCTAGTAATGCAAACATTGAAGACATAGGGTATGATGAGAAAGAAAACAGCAGCCAAAAACCTACTCTGTTAGTTTTTACATAACTGAAAAAAACAGTGTATGAACCTAAAATCGAGAAAGCATTTGTATAGCATCCATAAAAATCACAATTTCTGTACAACAGCTGCAAGGAAGAAAGGCACGGAGTTCACAAAAACCAAGAAGGCTAAACCACTGTGGCAAAGGTTAAATTACTAAGGAGGGAGGAGGAGCATAACACCAGTTAGATTCCCTAGCGTGCAAATCCGGGACATTTCATAACAAGCCTTCTTCCCTCTCTGTTTGTTGTCTTCTGTATCAATTATGGTCCGTCAGAATTCCCACCTGATGAAATTCTAGAACAGTATGTGAGAACATTGTCATCAAGTAAAAGATAGGCAGGCTATCGGTACCAAACTCCCCATGGCTACTCATTTCTGCTACCTAAACACCTCTGAATCAGGCTTTAGGACATGCTTAGTAGACAGGTTGCAGTGTGTATTGCAATGTATGAATCTGGCCCTGAATAGTGTTATGGGAGGCATTTTTAGACATTCGAAGTACGTCTCATGCTAACTTCATTGTATTTTCTGTCTGATGGACAAAAACTCTTCTTGTGGTCTTTTTAGCTTTTGAATGCTTTGCTCTGCAACCAAAATACTCATTTAACGTATCTTTCTCTATGTAACTGGGTATTTGTTTACCATGGGTTACAAATAATGTGTTTGACTCTATGAAGAGAAGACACAGAGCTCCTTCCAAACAGCATTTTTTCTCTTGTGGGCCTGTCTGCGCTGGACTCATGGAGGGAGAGTTCTGCTATGTCATTATCCATGCAGTTCTGACAGTATTAGTGAGAGTGAAAATACAATGAAATTGTGATAGCACCATATGCTTTTAGCAAGGTTTAGGTACTGTAGCTAGAAAAAAAAAAGCACGCACAGCTTGTCTTTGTCTAGCTGAGTATCATATGTGCATCACCAGCTGAATTTTTCACACTTGAAATTTCTTTTATTTATGTCTACAGTATTGCAGGCAGTGTTGCAGAGAGTTATGACACTGAAAGTGGATTTGAGGACTCTGAGAACAATGATGTTGCAAACGCAGTTGTACGCTTCATCACCAGGTTTATTGACAAGGTTTGCACAGAGAGTGGAGTTACACAGGATCACATCAAGGGTCTTCACTGCATGATACCAGGTAAGAATTGTGACAAAAAACTGGTTAATAGACTTCTTTCTTTTTTTTTTCCTAGTGAGAGAAATGCACTTTTTAGTTTTAGTTACTTTCAGTGACATTAGAAGGTTAGATTTCTTTTCTAGACTATAATTGCTGTTGAATTTCAGATACTCATTCCTTTGACGTTTAAATTTGAGGATTTCAGAATATCAGAGTTTTAATTAGATTGCAACTTTCTCTTTCATATTATGTGAGACTTCATTTATGGTATTACTGCTTTCCAGGCATTGTAGCAATGCACATAGAGACCCTGGAGGCCGTCCATCGTGAGAGTAGGCGGCTTCCACCAATACAGAAGGCAAGTATTGTGAAACATATTTGTATTCTTTACAAGTATTAGAATCATGGAATTTAGTAATCTTCCCCCCCCAATCATGGTAGGAGGAGACATCAAAACATTGAAAAAAAATTTCCACCAGTGATAAATAAAGTGCTTGGCTTTGGTGTCATGAAATATGAACTTATGAAACTAGTAGAGCCAAACTTCTGATTATAAACAAGCTGTTGCATGCCCACTGTTTTTTGAGACCTATTTCTCTTAGCTGAGTCCAAACTCCATCTCCCTTCTTTGGACTCAGTCTCATAACAATTTTGTTCTGGAGCTTTTTAAGCCAAGTACTATAACTAGATTGAGATTTAACATGGCCATTACACTGCCGTAACATCGATATTACACTTACATTTCCTTTTATTTGCATCAGCCCAAAATTCTACGACCAACTTTACTGCCAGGAGAAGAATTTGTGTGTGAAGGTCTTCGTGTGCTGCTGGACCCTGATGGCAGAGAGGAAGCTACAGGAGGACTGCTTGGAGGTCCTCACATCCTCCCTGCTGAAGGAGCTTTATTCCTTACCACTTACAGAATTATATTTAAAGGCACTCCTCATGATCAACTGGGTAAGAAGAATTAAACAGTGGTAATCGTGGTCCTTCAGATAGTCAGGACTTTGAGCTGGCCTGTCCGCCTATTCAAGCATCAACATCAAAATGTATATACCTCACCATATAATTTTTCATGTTTATCAGATAAGTATAATCCCTTAATATAGTTTTTTTTATCACTAGATATGACAATGATTGATTTTGATTTTGTATTTAACTTAACTAGAACTTATTTCTTCAAATGAGGCATTACATGCTAAATGTTTGTTTATTCCTGTGTATTGGTAGCTATTTAGAGTGCTGTCTTCAGTAATTTATGTAATACAAAGATCATAATATGTACTTGTCTTAGAAGAAACTTCAGTAGACTGTCATGTGGTATTACAGGCTTTTACAGACTACCTGAAGTTGGAGGCAGAAGACAAGGACATTCCTGACCATGCTTTAGTGATTTCCATAGGCTTTTGAATGCACAAAGTGCTTGGTTATCTTTATATGTTAGTTACATCTTTATATCTTAGTTACATCTATAAAGTTGGTCTAATAACGCTGCTCTACAGAGCAACGTTTGTAAGCTTCTTTACCACTAAGAAAGAAGATACATACTGTGTGAGATCTGCAGCTTCCACTACCCCTAGCTTTTAATTAAACAGTTTTTTTCAGCTGCTGGAAGTGAGTTTAACAAAAAATATTAATGAGTTAGTATTCTCCCCAAAATGATTATTAATAAATTCAGTATTCTTTTTAGCATGTAATGGAAATAGCTTTTCTGAATGGTGAATTTTCAAATTTTGGCATGTGCCATTTCCAAGCAGATTGTCATTCACAACATTCACAAAAAAAATTATTGTGGAAAGCTCGTGGTCATACTTAAAGATATCAGTATACATCATTCCTTGTTTATAAGCTGTATAATGCAGTATGGAATCTGAATAGGCTTGACACTGTTTCTTCACCGCCTACCAACCTTAATTTTGGGGATGTGTTTCCATTGTGTAGAAAGACTCAGAAGGAGAATATTTTTCTAATCATCCCAGATGAAATAAAGCAGAAATTCAGATTACAAATAATACTTTAGGAATTTACCAACTTTTCAGGTATTTTTGCCTGAAATTATTTCTCTACTGTTATTTTCGTGTGGCTTTGTACTTACTCATTCCTATCTGTTCAAAGTACAATGTGACCAGACCAGATCTCATTCTGTCATCTAACAAGTATCTGTAAATACAATTTTATGGTCCTCAGTTGGAGAGCAGACAGTGATCCGGAGCTTTCCTATTGCATCTGTGACGAAGGAGAAGAAGATCTCTATACAGAACCAGCTGCAGCAGAGTATGCAGGAAGGACTGCAGATCACTTCAGCTACCTTTCAGGTAAAAGAAAGTTTTGTAACAATTATGTGACAACACAATCAGCTCAAAATACTTAAGAGCAGCACTTTGTCCTGATATTTGTGAAGAGTTCAGATTTCTGCCCCGTAAATAGAGAATGCAGTCTTCCCATAGAAACCCTGGTGTTTCTTTGCCCAGTTGATGTTTACAGAGGGTCATCGTTTTCATACTTGATTTCTTTCATTCCTTTCCTCACCTTTCTATTTTGGATCCAGTAAAGGGCTATTTTGTGTCCAAAATCACTTAATGTGAGTAAGTAGAGGCCTAGGCAGGCCAATGAAAATATGCTTTCTCCTCTAGCTACATAGAATGAATATGGAAAAGCTACAAATACTGCTTTCTTCTCAGGACTTGTCACTTTACCAGCTGTCTGTAAAAATCCATGTCAGAACGTCATGGTACGTCTCACATGGAAGCTGCACTTCCAGGAATCTTTAGGGTAGTCACCATTGGCCAGAACCAATGAGCCTCCATATGACTTGCACAGATCCTGGTAGTTTCCTGTCTGTAGGATCACCCTCAGTGTGTTCACAGAAGCGTGTACTGCAGGGCGATTGACAGAGATGGACTTTTAAGAATTAGGAATCATGAAGTCTTTGAAGTCTTCTCAAAATGTTTCTTCTTGGTTGTAGTCAAGCCCTAAGAGATGGGAAGTTGAAGGCAAAGAATTTTATATCATGGACTGAAAGTAGACTGCGGTACTTAAGAGATGAAGTATTTTGTTGGGTTGGCTGACTGCAGAAGTGTATTTTCATTGAGAACAATAACTCTGTGACATTTGAAAACATAATAAAATAGATGATCAGCCTTTTACTTGTTCCTTACAATGATGGATATTATTTAACTAATAGTCCTTCAATATCCTATTCAAAAGCATAAGATTAGAAATATGAGTGAGTAAAACAACTGAAAGAAAGCTGTTCTTGTGCACTTTTGAGGGGAATTCATGAGGACTTTTATTTTCCAGAAATCTTTTTACCAGAATAGAGTTAGCATGCTTCAATGATATGCTAAATACAGACACTGCTTAGTGTTTGTAGTGCTGGATTCTGGTCAAACATCATCTTTGCTTTTGTTTAGCATAGTTTTATATTAGGTTATGAGAACAAAAACAGTCAGCAAACAGTTTACTCTCTGTTCCCTTTGTAACAGCTAGAGTTCAATACAGTATGAAATAACCCCTCCTCTTTATTTGTTAATTGTGACTTTCAGAAGGTTTTGGCTGGAGTTATGCTGTTTAATGTCTTTAAAACTTCAGATCAGTGTAACCCCTAAAGATTCAAGAGCTCCTTTCAATGAGGTCCTAGAACAACAGAGTTATTAGTCATTTGGAAAATATTTACAAAACAAGTGAAATTAAAAAAACAGTGATAAAATCCACCTTCTAAATGACAAAAAACATTCAAAAGGTGTATAGGTATGCACTCAGAAATAAAGCTCTAGGATATTTCTTTGTTTGCTTTTTCCACATTCTTAAAGATCTTCTGGACCCTTTTACAGATTCCCAGTTTTCTCTCTGTATTTTTTTTTTCTTCTCCCCACCCCCCACCCCGAATTGCTGACTGTCGTCCTTTTGGCTGAGGATGATGGGATGGGATTTTTATTTATTTTCAAAACCTTTCAGAAAGCATTTTTAGTGGTGTGGATGGATCAGTGTTGAATAGCACAAGGTTAGTTCCTTTTTAAGGATCAGATTTTTCTATTAAATTTTTATTATTAGCAGTTTTCTGTACTTTGCAAGGTGAGGCAAAAATTGAAATGACTAAGTAACAGAATTCTAATGGTTGTGACATACAAATGCTGAAATTGTTTGCTTGATGAGAGTCTTTGAAGTGCATTACCATCCTTAATTCCCAGTATATGGGCAGAGCTGGCAGAGCATTTCCAAGCTAAGCTGTCCCATGTGACTAGTATTTGAACTGTTGTAGGCATCTTAGTGCCAGCACTGCTACTTGGGTTTACAAAATATTTTGTGTTTGATATTATGAGTATTCCAGATGCTTCTTAGTGAAAATACCTTAGTATTAGGACATAAAAATAAAAATTAAATTAGAAAATAATAAGCTGTCTAATATCCCGCAAAATCAATAACGTATATGTGCATATATTCATATTTTCCAACAGACATAGTACTGCATAGGTATGGGAATTTTGCTAATATATTTCAGGATCTTTTAATTTCTTTTATTCTGTAATTTTTTTTCAGTTTCTAATGTGTCATGTCTTTAATATGCAGTTAATTAAAGTAGCATTTGATGAAGAAGTAAGTCCTGAAGTGGTGGAAATATTTAAGAAACAGTTAATGAAGTTCCGTTATCCTCAATCTATCTTCAGCACTTTTGCATTTGCAGCTGGGCAAACAGCGCCACAGATAATTTTACCAAAACAAAAAGAAAAGAACACTTCATTCCGGTATAGTCATTCTTCTCTTATTACTGATGTTCTTGTTTAGTATTAGTCAAATACATTGAACAATCTGACAGCTTGCAGAAATAGAGATCATTCAAGCAGTTTTCAGGAAGGTCAAAATAACTGATTGCTATTCTGCATCTTTTTATGTTTACTGAATAAAAGGTAGATTAGTATCATATACACATTGATTTGGTGTAGGAATATGTTATTTATCCAAATTTCTGGCTGCAGTAAATTTGAACAAGCATCTCAGTAGATTTTGAAACACAAACAAATAAGTAGCATCTTCGGCTGTGGAAACTATGCCAACATAAAAAACAGATTTCTTTTGTATTACTTTATAGGCTAATAACCTAATGTGGGTTAGAATGAATTTTACTCTCCAGTACAGTCTGTACAGTCTCCTAGAGTTTTTTAGTCTAGAGTTTGAGCTTTGGGTCTTCTATTGAAGTTTGTTATATATTATTTTTTGCTAGACTGATGTATCATTAGTCTGTACCAGAGTAGTAGTTCCTGTAATTCTCTGTTGATTATTGCATTGTTGACACAGGAAAGTAGAATCCCAAGCTAGCCATGGACTCCTAAAACTTTATGGTAATTTCTATCTTTCCTGCCTTTACTTTGTAGATCTGACATTGCTAGCAAAATATAAACACCTAAAGAAAGGTGATGGCTGCTTGTTCATTACCATTAGGCATAATAGACACAAATTAATCTCAAAATAATAAAATAGGCGTTTAAAAATTAATATAGGAAGTAATTTTTCTGGAGGTTATAATTTTTGTCATTAAATGAAAATTATTACATTTTATTTGGGTACATGGGTTCATAATAAAAATCTGTATATGCTGTTGGGGAGAATTGGTGCATCTTTCTAAATATTTTTATTGTTCTGAATTTATAGTACCTTTTCAAAAAGCATTGTGAAAGGAGCAAAGCGTGCTGGGAAGATGACAATTGGACGCCAATATTTATTAAAGAAGAAGACAGGCACAATAGTGGAAGAAAGAGGGAATCGCCCAGGCTGGAATGAAGATGATGATATCTCTGGTAATAGTAAAACATTTTTTTCCTCATTGGTTGATAAGTCTATCCTATTATGCTTCCATGCCAATATATTGTCCTCAAGAAGAAATTTCAGAGTCTTCCTAGAGAGGAAAGAGAAAGGTTGCAAATATGTACAATATTTGTGTATAGTAAGTGTTTTCTTTTGTGGTGACGAGGCAAAAGAGGAAGTTGACTTCATTCAGTGGTAAAGCAAAATACTAGATCATTGTTTTGTAATTATCAAACTATTTGCATATAGTATCTTTTTAATAGTTTTTTACATCATAATAGTGTAGATGGAACAGCATAGAAGCATGCTGTAGCTTCCATTTATCTTTAGACATCATGACATCTGCGATTAGTCTATGATGAGAAAGCAGTAATTGGTGAGATTCAAGCAAGAGCAAATACTGTGGAAGATTTTTACTGATGTGGAAGTGACAAATGATTTCTGAAAGCAGCAGAAGTCATTACTACTGAAAATACCATTTTCTCTAATTTTTTTGAAAGGATTTGGGGACAGAAAGTAGAGAGTGATTTGGGCACTTTGTATAGTTCATGTGATGGTATGGAGTTTTGACTTTCTTCCAAATACTTCTTTTCCTACCATGTGCTGCTGTCAGTATATCCTTATCTGGATCAGTGCTAATTTATAATAAACCACTAGAGGGAACCAAATTCTCCTGTACATAAACAGGTATTGTTTGTCATACCATTCTTTCTTTTTTTAAAAAAAATAAGCATTTTGGATAATTTATCAAACGCTAACAATTTCTTCAAAACAAGCCAAATTTTCTTTTTGAATATTTGGTCAGTGAGCAAGGCAACTTATGTGACTTACGAGCAGATATGTAAAAGTTGTCTGAAGCAGGACTGTGTTATTGCACTGTCTCTGTTCTCTCTGAAATGGAAGAAGGCCATTCCAGGAAAGCTAAAAATTATTGATTCTTTTCTTTCATTCCAAATAAAAGTGGTAGAAAAAAGGCAAAAAGAAAGGATTACAAAATACAGAATGTCTTTACAGTACTGAAAAATTATGTTCTTAATTGGATTTCCAGCATCTTCCTTAAGTGCTGAGCTAGTATGTGTTCTGATGTTGCAGATTCTTTGGGTCGGAAGCAATTCTGGAGGCTGTACCTGTGTGATTTTTGGGTGATTCTGTGTCCTTCACCAAGCACAATCATACCTGCGTATTCATACTTCTCTTGTTGATGAAGACATTTTAAGAGTTTCTGTGTGGCTGATGTACAAAACAATTACATTCTTCCATGAACACAGGTGTTATATAAACATTAGTGATAGTCACTTTTTTCTTCCGTAACAAAAATATAAAAATATAAATTGTGAGGCTTGCTACCTGCTGCTTTCCAGATGCTTTGGCTGGGAACGTGTAACGTGATCAAAGTGTGACGGTTTGCTTTTCTTTCCATGCTGCACTGACACATCAGGTATAGTCAGCTGACAGCAGGAGTAACTCTTTGCTTCAGAGAAATAGCCATAGGAAATTTGCTATTCAATCACTGCAATTTCTTTTACATTGCCTGCTGTGAATGACCTTTTGTTTGCAAGTCTTGAAAACTGAAGTATAGGAAACTATGCAGCTATACCAACAATGAAGCAAACAAGAACTATGTGAAGCAGGTGATGGACTGTCTTAAAAAAGAAATGTTAAAGCTAGGGTTGGAAGGAACTTCAAGACATCATCTACTCCATCTCTCTGCCCCAAGGCAAGATAAACATATTTAATCTGTCCTAGCTTTTTTTTAGAAGCTTTCAAAGATGAGGTTCCACAACTCTAGGCAATTTGTACAAATGCTTTAACTGTCCTTAATGCTGGAGGAAAAAAGAGAACTTTCTGATATTCAGGCCTAAACGTTTCCTTGCCACAATTTAAAGCCTTCACTTGTTATTCTTCCACATTATACATATAGAAGAGATGATTCTCCTCATTCAGATTGTAGTGCTTAATGTATTTATGGACTATTGTAATGTTTCTCTATTCTGATTTTTTCTGCATATTGAATATCTGCAGTTCTTTCAGTTCTCTATCTATTAGTCTTGATAGACTTCTGACCATCTTTATTGCTTTTTTCTCAGTCCTCTTTAGCTGGTCCACATTGTAATGTGATTTCCAAAACTAGGCACAGTACTTTAGTTATTAGTTGTTGCTAATGAACACTTAATTTCCTTCCAATTCCTCCCCATCTTTTTATTTTCGGAGTTTAGAACCTCATCACTACTAAATTCTGTTTCCTATAGGTGATCATACTGGTGTGTTCCATAAAATAGGAGTCTGTAAAACCTGCTTTTACAGTCATATCTCAGGAATGGTAAAATAGAGGGATTATTCCTCCTCTTTTCAAAATAAAATTTTAAAAAATCCATTTTAAACTTGAGACAGCAAAACATCTTCATCTCCCTCTTCAGGTTAAGGACTGTGATAGGAGCTCTTACAGTCTGTAGATTTTTATACACAGGAAAATGTGTTGCTAATTTTGATCACCGATATACCTGCTTCCAAGAGAGAAAAATACATTTAGGAAAAAATATCTCGAAACGTGAACCCTCTTCTTACCTGAGTCAATTATAGCTTTCCATTCAAAACTGTTAAATACCAAGTTTCCACATGCCCCAAAATAAAATTATTTCTAGAACTCATTTGTTTCTTGTTAGTGCACTGCATACTTGTTAAATGTTTTGTAGCTTCTTTCCTACCATGACAAATATGAAAACACAGAAAAAAGGGGAGATATCCACAGTGTTAAATTCTTTATTATTTAGGTCAAATAGAGAATTCTTGGTTTTGTTTGATGAGCTGCAGGGGCAATAAAATTACTCATTTAGCTTTTGTGCCAAGATGCACACACAAAAAATGTGTATGGGTTCTAGTACTGTAAACTCTGAGTGTGTCTACTGACAGTAAAATTCTAGTTGTATCATGATTTTTATTTTTTTAAATAATTTTCATTTCCAGTTTTATGAAGTCCTGTTTTAAGTTTAAATCCTTATGTACTTTTCAGTGCCTCATACATGAAGACTTACTTCCCCTCATATACACATATTTCAGTGCTTGAGGTGGTAGCATTACATGCTGTGAACAGTAAATCTGCTTTCGGAGGTATTTGGGAGTAGTTGGAAATGTCAGTAACAGACAGGTGACAGTTTTGTACAAAGACCTTGCTTGATTTGAATTTCAGTGTAGTTTGAACTTGTGACATGGTTTTTATCTCTCATGGTTAAAGGTTTTTCTGCTTTGGAAAGTGCAGCTGACATGCACGGCTGAAACTGCTGATTGACATTGAAACTGAGGCATTAAGAAACTGACAGTCATCTGTTGTGAAATTATGACACAGAAACTTTTTTTTTATTTGAACCAAGCCTTAAAGAGATTGTTACACCTTTTGAAGATAGTTCAAAAGAATTGTGAGGTCCATTTTATCTTGGATGTTTAATGAATTTATGTACATGTTTTTCATTATTCTGTCTTGTGTACATCTTTGTATAGAAGTTGTTGTTTAACAAGTTTTCATAAGTTGTTGAAAGAAAGATTATCTGCCTTCGATTCAGTTCGAATGAATATGAGATAACTTTTTACAGGATTTTAGTGAGAAAGTTGTCAGCCATGCCAGTCACAAGTGCAGTAGGTAACTGTGCGATATATTCAGGTTTCCTGCCTAAGATATTATTGTATTGCTTGTCATTTCTATAGACTGTGTTTTGTATGTATTAGTTCTTGTCATTTGTCACTGACGGTAAGACGAACTATTACTTTGTTAAGAAGAAAGTAGCATCGCTTTCTGTGTAACTGCTGGCCTCCCAAACAGCAAACTCTTAAAGGTTTTTAACTTTAGTTTCAGATGACAGTGAGCTGCACACAAGTGGTACCCTAAAAGCATCAGAAAAATCAACAATGGAGCAATTAGTAGAAAGAGCCTGTTTTAGAGACTATCAACGTTTGGGACTAGGAACCATCAGTAGTAACTCTTCTCGCTCAAAAACTGAATATTTAAGAATAACTGCACTGAACAGGATGTATTCACTTTGCAGGAGGTGAGTTTCCCAATTCAGTCAAGCGGTTGAAAATAAAGGTGACACAACACACGTACCACATGATGTATCCATTTAAGCAACTTACTCCAGGAAATTTTTTGTCTATAGTAGGAGTGTTCAGCCAGTGACCTTGAAGCTATTCATACGCCACTCAGAGATTCATCTTCTGGTGACTGTATATGTATTCATCAGATTCGGAAAGACTGCCAGCAATGATAGCCGGAAGCGATCGGAACTGCCCCAGAATCTCTGTCAGACAACAGAAGTCTTCCTTCCTAGGTTCTTTCTGTGGCCCATGGAATGAGAGTGCACCTGGGGCTTTTGGAGGGGATTGACCTACATACTCTGAATTGCCTTTTGAAGCAGTTTCGCTTGGCTTTCTACACTGATGTCTAAATCATTAGGCTGTTTTTTAGCTTTCTGACTTAGCCAATAACGTTAGGTGGTAGAACACTGTCTCGGTATGGTTTCTGTAACTTGCTGTGTTGGTACTGGAAGTTATTTAATACATTTGCATATAAGTTCTGTTCTGTTCCTAAATAAAAAAGCAAGCCTCAGAAACAACTATGCATAACTATATTCTTCAAATAAAAAATGTTTTAAAATTGAATTTATCCTACTTTTAAAAGTTTATCATGTGCTGAAAGTCACATGCTGTGTTTTAGCACATGAACGTTACTAACTCATTTTTTGTTGTGAAAGCTGATGTAGTTTACTACAAATACCCACAAAAATTCTTTTTAATACAAAAGCATATCTGCATGAGTCGTACCAAAAGAGCATTTGCAATCTCCAAAGCCAGTTTTGGCTCATCATTGCTTTCATTATGGGTAATGAAACTGCCAGTTCTTCATGGAAGAAGGGCACACAAGAAAAATACTGGATCATTCTTGTTTTCTGTTTATTTCTTGTTTATCTACAGTAACAGACTAATAACTGGTTTTGTTCAATCACCATTGAGTACAATGCAGATGAAGGCATTAAACCTATTCATTTTCCTTGTGCTTTGAAGATGATTCACATAAATGATTCCTTCCCCTAAAACCACCAGTTTTTAATACTCTATAGGATTTTTTTGAAAAGATAATTAATATCTGAGTGAATTACAAGTCTCAGGCTATAAATACTTATCTAGTGCTATATTAGATTGGTTACTGTGTTTTAAGAAGTAGACCATAAATATTATGTACGTTGATTTTGTATGAGGGCAATTCAGTAAATATCAAAGAACTGAATTCACAGGAACAGTGTATATTGTACAGGAACAAAGTTGTTTAGTAAGCACGAACTATTCCCTGCTCCTCATCTTAGTTTCTTTTACCATATGGGATTGGCACTTAAATTGAATATTTTTTGGAGGAGATAGAAAATAATCTTTCATATTGCTTGAATCCTTCTTTCACTAACGTGAACACTAACATGAAACTACCATCTTGCTGGGTTTTCTATTTTTAAAAGTGATTTTTTCTGTATTTTTCTATTTTTATCAGTGAATTTCCTAATCTCTTAAGGTATTGTAGTGTTTTAAAAAGAACAGAAGAAGTTTCAAATACACTATTCCAAGGAATCTGACTGTAAAATTTAAATGTATGTTGACATAAAACAAAAACTACTGTTTCAGTGGTGATACTTTAAACAATTTAACGTTCTTTCCTTCCAGTTCTCATATTTCGTATACAAATATCAAAACAAAACTGCTGTATCATTTGCATGACTCAAAATTCTGTTTTCTGTTGTGGTCAAAAATTTGGCTTCCTTATAGACAGATAAGAGATAGAAAGAAGAAAAATGCTACTGTATAAAATGTAACCTTTAATGGAGAGAGACTAGTAGTGATAGTCATTCAAATTTTTTGTAATTAAAGTTGGTTTTAAAATTCAGTTTTCTTTCCAAATTAATATATTTGCTAGGATTGGACTAAAAATGATAGTTACTAAATATAATTCTAACAGTTGAGTTGTATTTTCATCAAGATGTGTATTCAGCTTGTAATTTGAGGAATTTTTTTTCATTATTTAAAATTTTGAAAGCAATTGTTGTTCAATTTTTATCACCTTTTTGTCAATACAGTTATCCTGGGCTTCTGGTAGTACCTCAGTCTGTTCAAGACAGCAGTCTGCAGAGAGTTGCTCGCTGTTACCGTCACAATCGCCTGCCAGTTGTCTGTTGGAAGAACACTAAAACCAGTACTTTTCTACTTAGATCTGGGGGCTTTCATGGAAAAGGTGTTGTTGGCCTCTTCAAATCGCAAAACACACATACTGCAGGTGAGTTGATGAGCTAGACTTTCTGTATAGGTAATTTTATGGAGAAATACTTACTTTTCTGGAGGAAATCGGTGATATGATTGAATCAAAACTCTCAGGATATGAATATATCTGATATTAGTTCAGTTTAATTACTGTATGTCAAGAAGCAGATTCCTGAATGGTATGAAGGTGGTTCAGAAAATGTCAATTAATAATTTGAACAGAGCTAATATATGTACCAAACGTCTTCAGTAAAAGCTGATATCTGCCAAATGCAATGCAAACTTTCCCTGTTTCCCTTAAATTATCTTTTTTTTTCTTTTATCTTTTTTTCCTTTGCACTGGTTTATGTAATGACTCTATGTTGTCCCTTCCAATAGATGATTATATAAAGTATTAGAGAGACCATTATACATTGGATTTTCTAATGTTTTTCATTGTAATACTAGTTTAACTTTTATTTATCTTTTGTAAAGCATAGACCTGAAGGATTCTAGTTGGAGTCTTTGCATTAAGTAAATCTGTTCCTTTGTGTGATCAGGATTGGACCAGCACAAGATTTGTCAAAGTAGTTAATTTTTCAGAATTGTATAACATTAGGGCAACACTAGTTTTGGGAAGAGTATTAGTTGACTTTCATCATTGACAGGCAATGTTTAGGATATTTACTGTGACTGCCTGGATTTCCATCTGTTATGCTGACAGTTTCTTTGGAGCTGCTTTAATGCCGAGAAGGAATTTGGCGTATTGCTGAAGAAAAAGCCAATATTCTCTTTAATCAAACTGATAGTTGTTTAGAAATTATTCTAGAATTAGGCCATGATTTTTCTTTTTTCAGAAAAAGAAAATGTGAGGTAGAATTGGAATACTAGGAACTCATTAAGGTAGCAAAGAAATTCCTCAGTCCTGTTTCTGTTTGCATTTCACCCCAATAATGACTAAAATGCAATTAAAAGGTTTGACTCTACTGAATAGTTTGTTCTATAGAATTTTTCAAAACCTGTAACAAACATAATGTACAAATATGTGCAAGTTGCATGAAAGTAGTTTGAAGATTACATGATTTAACTATTTTTGCATAGTCCTGAATTTTTCCTTCATGGAGTATCTTTATGAAAACCACGATTTTCTTTACTTGTAAAGAACTGTTTATATCAGACATAATATTTAGCTATATGGGGGTTTGTGTATATCAAATTCACCTTTAAAATCTCAAAATTTCAGAGATATTAGAAAAACATTTTTACATTAGACAATGTCTAGACTGGCTGTTAACAGTAATTTGTGAATCACTAGTTATCTGCTGAATATGCACTGCTCTAGCATTGATTCAGTATGTCTCTTCAGTGTTTTGTTGAGGGCGTTTTGTAGTTCAGCGACATAATGAATTGGGTTTTATATAATGCATTTTTGTTGAAAAGATTCATAACATGAATCAGTAAAGTACTACCAATAGTTAACACAGCAGCTGCCAAAGCTATGAGCTACACCAGTTGTTCCACAGGTTTATGGTTTGAATACTAAGCATGGTAATTCAAATCTTAGTCTTATAAACTGATTTAGTAGTGATTGTTGTAGCTGAAATACTGGCCAGGCATCTTTAACTTGGTGTAAATAGAATAAATTGAAAAGTCTGCAGGAATAATCTGTGAATTGTATAAAGACAAATACTTCAATGGTTTTTGTAGTAGCTATCATTTCTATGTGCATGGGAGTATGAGAGCCTTCCAAAACAAAGCCTGACCTATTAAAGCAAGTTTTCTGTGTGCAGTCTCATTGCTTTTGTAGGCAGTTTCTTTTTTTAATTTGATATAGTCTTTTGTCATGTCACTGTCATACTTCCAGCAGTGTATTAGGCAATAGATAATCTGTTCGACCTAAATGTATCTGTCAGACATTAGCTTCTGGAGTTACTGTTTCTTTTAAAATATGAAGAAAATGGAGACTCTCCTCAGGAAAGTACTACAAGGAAAATGAAAAATATTTATAGCATACTTATTTTATTCATAATGAAATTGAAGCTTGGTGAAACAAAACCTGAAAAAACTGATCCGTAAAGATAGTTATGCACAGATGCATGCATTTGCCTCAGTAGGAGTTGTGTACGATGAAGGAAAGTCTATTGAAAAACACATTGTGATGCAAACTAAGAGGACAAAGATAATCTTAAATTCAAGCTGACAGATGTATAACTTCCTAAGCATTTCTTATGTGTAGATTTTTATTAGGCATTTCTGGGCTGATACACAGAAGCAAAGAGGACCTGCTGGAACTTAATGAACATTTTTTGTGATTTCCTGTTACATCGTCTGTTAAACAAGTTCTTAAGCATAGTTGAGATCAATATCTTAAATAAGAAGCACAGAACATATTTTTTAGAGAAATTATGCACATTACTGAATTGCTATATAGAACCAAACTACACATGCAACAGAATTGTACTTTTCTAATGCCTGGCATTTGAAAAAAATCTGACTCATTGAGACTGGACACTTCTGTTGTCATCAGAGGATGGCCCAGGACCTGATCTTCATTTCCTTTCCTTCCTTTATGTCCTTGCACCTGGACACAAATGAGTGGAGTTTTTCTGGTTAAGATTATTTTTTATTATTATTTTTCTTATTTTGAGGTTTTTTTCCTTGGTTCTGTGTTTTCTTACTGGTTCCTTTAAGGTTTTTAAGTCTTAAGATTGTCTTAAGTGGACTGTCTGTTTAACTTAAATACTTTCTTAGAGCATCATACCTTCTCATGTTGATTTTTTTTCGGTTTTTAAACTGTGTGTGTTTCCTCTCTGGCTTTGCTTTCATCCAGTCTTTTGCAGCCAGTTCTCTGTATCTGAAAAGGTCCTTCTCCATGCCTCCAGCAACTTAAGCAACATCAATAACAATTGAAAAAAAAAAATATCCATGTCTGAGATGTGTAGAGTAGTCATCTGAAACTACAGGCATGTAAGGGATTATTCAGAGGTTTTCAGAGAACAAATTGTGCAGCCCTTCCTCCTACAAGTTACCTAAGCATGTGGGAAGACACTTCCTGAACTTACCCACTGGTGAAGGAGCAGGTGTACTGTCACTAGGGAAGAGGAACATTACTTTTCATAATTGGACATCCTTTAAGGTGTGTTATCCAGGTGTGCATGCACTGTCCACCCTCTTTCCTCTCTTCTTTATTCCTTATTATTTAATATTCTTTATTAAAAATGTCAGATTCTGGGGGTAGCGTACCTGAAGGACATGTAGATTGTGTCCATTGATGTCTCTAAATGCAGCAGAGTGCAAGAACTGGTGGATTTTGATATATGTATACTTTCAGTGAATGGGCAATATATCTCAAGGAACCTCCAGTTATAGGTAAGTAACTGTCCTTTACTGGAATGAGGAAGAGCTGGTTGAGTATGGTTTTAACTTACTTTTGTTAATAAAACAGTTCTATCTGTTTTCTACACATTTTTTGTAAAAGGGTGAACTTTGCTGACAGCAAAACTTAGAAATGTTACTTTTTGTTCTGAGAATGAAAGGAGAACTACAACATCTCTGTTCTGTTTGTATTGATCCCTGGCTAATGATGAATGTTTTAAGTAGTGACCAGGAGGTGATAGACTCTTTCAGAAGTTTGGCTTTGTGGAGTGGAATACAAGAGAACATTGCTGGGTGCTGCTCTGCAGCAGGGGATGAACATTGAGTATTCTTTGTTGTCAAAAGAATGGCTTTTTGAATGTTGGATACACAAACCATGGAATTTTCAGTGCTCTGCTTTACATAATAAGCTTTTTCTTTTGCTATCTATGTATTTATAAATGTACTTGTATTTTAATGTATTCCATTCTTCTTGTGGCTCTAGCTCCTGCTTCTTTAGAATCTTCAAGCAGTATAGAACAGGAGAAATACCTACAAGCTGTACTGAATGTGATATCCGTCCACTGCAAAATGAATGGCAGTAATACTCTCACTGTTAGACCAACAATTGCTCTGTCTCCAGGTAAAATTGGTTTATATAGTGGTTTTCTGTGGCTAAGTTGAAAAGGGGGTTTTCTCTGATTTGGTGTTAGTTCAATGTCCCATATGAATTCAGTTGTTTCTTTGTTGTTACACTTCCCAGATAGCTTATCACTATTGGTTTCAGTGAACATGTTTTCAGTACCTAAAGGTTGTTTATAATCTCTCCCAAAATATTTCTCAATATTCTTAATCTGACAGTAAACAGTTATCCACCTGTGGGTCATAGTTTTTGATGAAATTCACATGAGTATGATGGCCAACCTTGAGGCATTAGTAATTTATTACAATTCTGGAACAAATAAAATAAAGTTCTCCAGAATATCAACATGTCAAAACTTTCCAGGTTTTTATTACATCAAATGCAACAATCATATTACTTAACAGAATCAAAAGCAAAGATGCACTTTAAGGTCTTTTATAACAAATTGAGCATATTGAAAACTATGTATTGAATAAGAGACTGCCAAACTGAAGAGAATGAAAATACTACGCTATTTCATATAATTAGAAAATGTGACATGAACAGATATGCTGTTTAGCTGCAGCAGCAGTGGAGGGTATATAGGCATTTTCACGTGTGTTCCATACTCATAAAGGGCTTTTAATGTAATTTCCAAGTAGAGCTTTAATTGCAGTGAAAACTCTTTCAAAATACATATGTGGAACCATGAAGAAATAAATCCATGTTCTACTTCAGTTATTATGTGATGAAGCCTGTTAAGGTTTACGTGAGGGTAACCCCAGTGTCTTGAAAGGAGAGTATGTGACTTGAAATTGTGTCTGTCTTGTCTTATTCAGTGTGTGGTAATTGGCCTAATATAGCCAAACAGTGGCTTTTCTTGTAAAATAACACTATTCCCAAAGTGTGCATGCTTTGCTTCATTTATTGTAAAATATGTTGATCGCTTAGCTGTATCTAACATCTCTGTGCTGTTGCCAATGTATATACATCTGTCTTAAGAAATAAATCTGAAGTACCGAATTGGCAAGAGTTAGCTGTATTGCCTGAAAAAGGGCATTTTATCAGTTATGTTAAGTGTTAGTCTGAGTAACGCTGTAGTTTTTTAATCTTCTATTCTTTTTTTGGCTGACTTTAGGCACTCAAAGGAGGGCTTCAAGAATGTCTACTGTGTTTAAGCAGGTAGTGCCAGGACATTTGGATGTAAATCTATCCAATAGCTTTGCTCGAGGAGGTTAGTAAGACTAGCTCAAAGTCTATTATTTGAAGTAATAAATGATAACAAAATGTTAGTGAAATAAAAATAATTACACTGCTTACTGATTCATTACTCTGTGAAACAGCAAAATAGAAAAAACAGATTAGCCTCAGTCCGTAACATTATTTAAGTATCTCATTTCTGTTTAGATCCTTTACTTACCATCAAAATAAAGCTTGTTTCGTGTTGGAAATTAGTGGAAAATTAAGCACTCAATTAAGAATGACGTTTCATTTCAATTTGTGATTCATCTGTATTTTTAAATTGTCTAAAATGTATGGCCTGAAATTGCATATTCCGTATTAGGATTGAATGCACTTTAGAATCTTCAAATACAGATCATCCTGGCATTTGGCTGAAGATTAGGTGATGCTTCATAAAGTTACAAACAGTCTATCTGGATAATTTTACTCTAGGTAAAGGAGGGAGTTATGTGGCTAGACATAATAAGTAGGGAGGTACGTTACGTTCTTTGGAAATAGTTATTCTTAGGTACAGGGGCTCATCAGTGTCATTTCATTCAAGAAACTTTCATTCTGTGGATTCCAACCTATTTTCACTCTTCTAGTCTGATCAAATTGTTAAGAGTTTTTAATGTGCAATACACGCCTTAATTAGTGCATCAAATTTCTTAAATATATATTTGTTAGGATAGGGATGAGACTGTATTTCCCAAAAGGGGGTGGTTTGTATTTTATTTATTACCTTTTAGCTCTGAAGGCTCCTCTTACAAATATTTCTAAGAATCTGAAAGTTGCTTTTCTTCCTTTTTGATACCTCATTTAAAGTTAGTTAGACCTACTTTGGCCTGCTGAGGTCCATTCCAACTTAAATTATTGTGTGATGGGAAAACTGTAGCTTCATATAGGGAAGAATAAAACAATTCTGTAGAGAAAAACTTCTGGAAGAAATGGACGGGATTAGAGAAATGTAGGAATGAAGCAAGCAGGAGGGAGGGAGAAAGGAAAGAAGAAAGAAAGATACTCAGAGCTGTATAGAGAAGTTATGTGAGAATTGTAGCAGAAGGGAAGAGAGGAAGAGCAGTTAAATGGTTATCACCAAAAAATGGAAAATTCTGTGCATTTTCATTAATCATAATATATGCATATTTCATATCTAAAAGTTCTATTCGTGTTCTCTGCTCACTTGTTTGTACTACAGTTGTCACTGTAGTACATGGAGATGTATTGGACAAGTAACATGGCTAGGGACCTAGGAGAACAGGAGTTAATAGTGCCTGGAATTGTTAGTTAAATTTGTGGCTGTGCCCAGCCTGACTTTGTCCTGAAGTAGTGAAAATGCTGGGTAGCTGACAGCAGACGTTTGGTTGTATTCCATCCGCTTGTATGGGGACAAAAGTGCCAACAGCGAAGTGGTGCTGAGGGGCGGTGAACATGCTCCAGATAAGTAAAGGAAAGCTTGCTGGTTGGCTCTATGGAAGTTGTCCTTTGAAGATAAAGGGATTACTGAAATAACTGTTGCTGGTTTCTGGGATTAGAGTTCGTGGAAGGTGTGATGGGATGAGTTTGTTGCTGCTCAGTGAAGACAAAAGGAGTCTCAAAGCAGTATTAGATCACAGATATGCTGTTTTGTTGGACACTGAAGTCTTGGCTAAATTTCAGCTGTAATCAGGAAGAGGGCAGAGAAGTTATCGTGTGTCTTGCTGGATTGATGCCACACCTGCTCTATATATCTGAAAGGTGTAATTACAGCCTGGTATCTGCACCCTGTTCACGGTTCAGCAGGATACATGAGGACTTTGCTGAAACATAAGAATGTTTGACAAGTACGGTGGGAGCCTTAGTGAAGGTGAGAAGTTGACAGGGTAAGAAAGAACTGGGAAAGGGAGTATCTCCCTGTCAAGAAGTAAGCACTAGGTTTTTTAGATTAGCTGTCACAGTTCTTTGAGGAGAAACTCTAAAATACACGAAGTATATAAGATCTCTAAAATTGTTGTTCTCAAATTGATTCACGCGCTTTATTTTTGCTAGGTTTTTTGCTACTTTTTCATAGCTAGTTATATTTCACATGTGAAGTAGTGTCAGAAGACTGTATGCAGGACCAAAAATACAGCGCTTTGGTCAACTGAAAAAACAGACGTGCAGGCAATCTAAAAATGGTGATTTTTTTCTCCTTCATATTTCTAAGAATAAGTCAAAAAGCAAAAAAAAAGAAAAAGAAAAAAAAAAGAGACAATGGAGTTTAACTAGTTACTTTAGCATAGCAAGCAGCTATCAATTATGCACTACACCATACAAAATACAGTAGCAGTATTTTTGCGGTTTTGATTTTGGATCCCTCTTTCTTTCCTTGTTTTCATTCTCACACATACCAGGGCTGAAAAGTCAGGTACAGCTATGATACACGAATTGAAAATGACATTTTTTTGTGCCAGCCAATGTTTTTTTAATACACATCCTTTTAAAATTTAAGTTAAATATATGTGCCAGTGCTTGAATAGTATTTCTCATTTTTAAAAATCATCATTGTTCTGAATACTCATCAGTTGTCCTCAATATTTGTGTCTGTGTCAGGTATGGGTTTTTTACTTTATCTAGAAGATTGTAACAAAAGTGTGTGCCTAAAGCCCGATCTCTGATCTGAAATATTTGGCCAAATACGTATATTTCATAATGTATTTTCATTCTTGGACCTTTTTTTGCAGTACCATGGTTGATATCTTTCATAAGAATTGTGAGTTCACTCAGAATACATACCTTTTCTTCTTATATTACTTTAAAAGTATAGTGTGGTTCTACAGAACAGCACTTCTTACCTGGCATTGTGTGTGATTTAATAGAATAAAATGTTTTCTCAGTATGTTTTACTGCTATGGAAGAATATAATTAATAAATAGAGACTCAGCTCAGATATTTATTTTAAAAGCAGGAGTCATTAACATACTGAGAATGTTTATATTAAAAGAAGTTGCTCGTTTTGATGTGGCTTTCAAGCCAAAAATATACCCTCTGATAAGCATATAAGGTTCACACTGAAAATAAGGACTTTTACAAGGGGGGGGGAAATCTCTTTGTGTGCTGGATATTACATGTTTTCTAAATTACATGCTTTTACACAGTCCTTTAAAAGTGTTTGTAGGTGTATAGAACTAACATCTTGCACTCTGATTTGAATTTGAGGTCAGACTAAAACAGTTTTTAAACAAAGCACTAAGGTTGGGATTTTTAATTAAGCTATCTTTCAGCTGGATAGAAGCTTTCAATAAAGTACTCAGCAGAAAGATTTAATTGTTACATTTCCTTTGGTGTTGTAATTATGGAAAAACACATGATGGCTGTGCTACATGTTTGAAACTATTGCAATGACAATGAAAACTACTTTTTGATAAATGGGTACTTCCTTCCCTTTTTATATTGGTTTTCTGGCTTGATTGATGTTTTGTCTTGTGATGACCGAGATTCGCTCTGTCTGATAAATCATGTACTATAAAGAAATTCAATATATACTAGATCTTTGGAAATTAATAAGTAACCCTTTTCTTTTCTCCTGCAATGTGTCTCGCTGCAATGTGCATTCCATTCCTCCTCCTTCTGTCTTAACTGTTATCTACCAGTGCTTGGGTACAGAGATAAATGTCTCACTCATTCAAATTCCAAATCAGCAACTAAGGGAAGAGTCCATCAAGGTACTGTATTCTGTGTCCTGAAAGCACATTCCTTTCTTCCATCTTCATAACTACTACAATATCTTAATACATGCTAAAGTGATACTGACAGAAAGCCTTGATCTGCATTAACAAAATTTTGGTTTATTAGTTCAGTGCTGCAGTTTTGTTTTGATTTGGTGGGTTTTGGCCAGTGAATGTATGATGCAGTGACAGTGATTAGTCACACACTTCACAATGTTATTCTTTAATAATGTTATGATCTAATGTGGAGTGATATGTAGAAAATTTTCCATGTGAAAATTTTAAACAGCAGAAATTAATTCTGCAAAAGAGCATTTAGTACGCCTACTGCTTTAGTAAAATAGCTAAGAAATACTGTTACCTAGCCAATGAACTTTCTTTCCAAAATTATTGTTAATGTTAGTGAACAGGGGAAAAAATTACTTCTGCCAAATTAGAAAGTCATAATAAAATGGTATATGCCAAATAATGAGAGCTAGATATGCCAAATAATGAGAGCTAGATACTGCTAACAAAAAAATAAGGTACTAGGCAAAATTAGAGTAGAAATAGAAAGTGTCTTTTAATCACTGTTATCTGTCACTGGTAAACATGTTCATCTGCATGTATTTGTAATCAGTTTCGTTGCTTTTGATGTGCTACAGGCACTAATGATGGCCTGCATTTGTAAAATGTTAGAAAGTGGCACTGTGAGGTTTTTGTATATATCCTCTTTGGGGACAGTTTTCTGTGTTGGAGCTAGCATTTTTCATACCAAATGAACAAGAAATTATTCCTCTTATTAAATGCTTGGTGTGATTTCTGTTTGCTAAGGTCTTTATTATTTCATCTGTAGTAGTTGAGATGTGGAACAAAAGTTTATACAAAACATAGTACCTTAATATGAGGTATTTTGTAAAATGGGCTGTCTTTGAAGTTGAAACTGTTTCGAAATGTTACCAATCCATAAGTTCCTAGCCAGCCATTCTCAGTTACTCTTACTCACTTGCTCACATCTAAGACTAGCAGCTGGACAGGCAGACAAGCCGCTGTACAGACAAGTGTCTGTTGAGAATTACTGTACAGAATTATTCTTTAATAGAAACATAATCCTGCTTCTGAAAAATAGAATAACATTATTTTGCTGGTTGAACTATCTCAGTGGAATTTTACTGTTACCTGCAGCTTTTTTCTTCTATGCAAGAAATGTTAACTATGCATATTATTGGATTTTCCTGAAGGGGTTGGAGGGGTTTTTTTGGTATTGTAGCGTCTAAATTTCTACTGCTATGAGGAATTTCTAATGCCTCTTTTGGATATCTTGCTTCATGTTCAGATTTATGGACAAGAGTCTCTTCTGAGAATCTGATTTACTGCATATTGGGTTAAAGAATTTCACACTGCCATTTGAATGCCAAATTTAGTATACTTCAAGGGATTTGATTTTCAAGTAGTGCTATTTATATTCTGAAAATCAAATACCTTTCACATACCTCACATTGGACACACAAAAACAGTCTCACAAAATCGTTGTTATTAACTAAGGCACAAGAAACAGAAAAGTATTTACTTGTATTTTCGTCTGATAGTGCTAAATAGGCCTTAGCAATCTTGATTTATCACTACTTTATCTTATGTTGAAATCACAAAACTTATCTAACCACGATCAGATCAGAGCGTGTCAGTGGAGGAAATGACAATATAGCAGCATCAGCAAGGCACGATATGCAAACTAAAAATGCTGTTGAGAGGCAGAGGTTATTAGGTTGGTACAATGCCATTCAAATATTGCTGTGCTGCTTTCAGATGCAAGTCTGTGGTTCCACGTCATACTGTGCTGTTTCAAGCTCCTGTTGTTGCTAGCTTTGGGATTTCTGTACCATGCCCTGCTGCCAGAGTAGTGGCAATCTTACTGCCAGATTAAAACTGTAAGACTGTGTTCTTCTACGCATCCTTCTCTCTACTCACACAACTGTGCAATAGTCACATCTGCTAGAATATAGTCATGAAACACATGGTTAAAAAAAAAAACTTCCTTAAATTCATTTTCATTTCTAGTTGTCCATTATTCATGGATGATTAAAAAATAAATTCATGACATTCTGCATTTTTATCATGACCTTTCAAGAATAAATATGGAGTACTTTATCCGGAAATATAATATGTGAATTGAACATCTTTATATACATTTTCATTATAATATGATACAGTTGATACTGTTACCTTGTGTAGGGCGAAAGGAATACAAGAATTCTAAGTAACAGGAAGTTCTAAGTTATACTATTTCCTCTTTTGAAGAAAGTAATTATATAATATTTTTACTAGTTAGACTTCCAAAATTATATGCCTTTGACTAGGAAATACATCAAATTTTTGTCTCTACTTCTGAAAAGAGCAACACTAGCAATTTCATTTCCATACACTTAAATGGACGTTAATTACTTGGAAGTTGCGATTCATTTTATCCTTGTATTACTGATATCATACCAACCATTTTCTCTACCGCAGAAAGTGCTGTGCAGAGTTTGATTAGTATCTTAGGTTAAATGACAATGCAGTAGGATGCTTTTGACAGTTTTTGTTATCAAAATATTTCTTTCCAATTCGTGCTGTTAATTATGTCCTATGAGGGATGCAAATTACATGTTTAAGCGTTCTACTTTCTAAATGATGTTTTTGCTTGTGCCTTAATAATTATCATCTCCAGTGCCTCACGCAAAAAGGTTTTTAAAAATCTTTCATCTTTGTGAAGGTGTATGGGCGAGTCTTCGTTCGAGCAACCGATTTATCAACACTCAGACTCCGTTCATTGATGTTGGTGCAAGACTTGCAGGGAAAGATAACACCGCTTCCTACAGCAGCAGCAGTTTTCTGCAAAGTCAGCTTCTGAGACGGCAAGCAGCCCTCTATATATTTGGAGAAAAATCTCAGTTACGGGTAATGGCAAATTTTTTTTTAATGTTAACATAGTTTTATTTGTCTTGAGTTTAATGTTTTTACAAATGTTTTGGGGTTTTTTTACTAATGTTTTTACAAAACAGTAAATAATATTCTAGATAAGGCGGATGGATAACTCTCCTAAAGGTGTAAACTCTTATGAGTGTTATTACTATATGCGGAATAACAATTAATGATGCATAACTCAGTTGGGGGCTGGAGAGGTGAAAATCAAGCTGTATGCTTATATAATACAACAAAGAACAGAAATTAAAATATATTAAATTATCTTACAAAGCAGTTGAATATCAGGCTCAAGGTCATGAAAGTTCTGTGAGTAGAGCCCTATTTGTCACTTTTGGTCAAGTGCTGATGTGTAGTAGAGCTAAGAGATACAAAGATGGCTAACAGATGACTAGAGGAATGGAATAGCTTTTGTGCAAGGTAAAAGCATTCAAACTGGGAAAGAAGACATGGCTAGGAAGGAAATGAATTGCTAGGCAACAGAGCATCCAGCAAAGCCTTCATGTTGAGAAGTCACTGTGTCCTTGCTGTCTCAGCTGTCTCTCTGCATTGGCTTTGCAGGGAACAATGGCAGCAAAGTTTGGCTCTGCTCGGAGTAGCTGCTGGGATAAAGGTGATTGATGAGACTGTAGGCAAATGGAGGGGGGCCAGTGTAGTGGCAGTGGAGCTTGCTGCCCCTTTCAGAAGCTGTTCCAAGGGAAGTGCTAGAGTTCTGTATCTGTAAGTTCTTGCTTTCAGAGCCACTGAAATGCGTACTACTGTACTCTGATACTGCTGACTACTCATCTAATGTTCAGCTGAGTCGTCATCTCAGTGATTTCTGTTTTGGGAAACATTAAACAGACTTATTTGGTAATTTAAAATACAATTTTATTTTTCCTAATGTGTTGAAATATGTGATGAAGCAAATGGAATGTTGTTAGTCAGGAAAGCGATTGTCAGAGAAGAAAACCTTTGTTACTGTGGGCAGCACTTAAACTGACATGAAGCCAAATTGATGTAAATAAGGTCAACCCAAAAGTCTGTCCATCCTGATTTGTTTAAATGAAGAGGACCATGATGTCTACAGTTTCATACACTTTTTTTTTTGATAGATTTTACAATTTTTGATGCAGTTGTTTAAGAAACAGGTATCCTCTACATTAATTCTTGGTAGTTCTACTTTTTTTCAGAAAATGTTTGCAGATTTGTTTTTAAATCTCTGCATTCAAAGATTGAAAAAGCAGTTTTCTACTTTCTTATTCAAAATGTGAGCACATAAAATATTATCTATTTTTTGAAATATGTGACTTCCAAAAGCAGTTATTGGTAGTAGGAAAACGCATCAGTATTCAGTTATTTCAGAAATTGTTATATCAGCAGATGGAAGAATCAGGACGTATCAGAATGATGAATCAAAGTTCTTTGCAAATTTTGTTTCTATTTTGACTTTTCTTTGTAATTTCAAATGTTCTTTTATATCTTACTTGTATTTTCAGTTGTATTTTTAAATGATGGTTATATAACAGGTATTAGTTCTTACTCCCTTTTCACTTTGTCTTTTATAATTGGTTTGCAAATTCATTTTCCTTTTGCTTTCTTCATTACACATTGGTACAAAAAATAGTCATTTTTAATTAGTTAAATTTCATTTGATATTCTATGGCATTCTAATATAATTAGCGTAACAATAATTTACAGAAATATCCTGTTAAGTCTATAATAAGCATTCTGATTCAATAGAATAAAGCCTAAGAATATAATATAAAAGACTAAACAGAAATTTTGAAAGTAAACATCATTTATTGTTATTAAAACAAACCGTTCTTTTGAACAGCAAGAAAGCTGTTTATTTTAATGCAAAATTTTTGTTTGTTGAGTTGGCATTTTCGTTTGATTTTCTGGAGAACATTCTTCCTAAAGTTTTCAAACAGGTCTGTTCATAGTAATTTTTCATCTTGTTAAATCTTATTTTATAACCATAACCCGCAGAAGGCTCTGGCAAAGGAGACACTTCGATGAAAAGGAATACGGGAGGAGTAATGCAAGAGAAACAATGACATAGAATTGAATTGCCATAATCCAGTATTAACAATTAATTCACATTTCTGTTTGTTTTCTTAATGATAAGTGAAGAGTTTAGTTGTACATTACATCTAAAGATATGTAGTAGAAACATCTTTGTTGTGTTACTTTGAAGTGACCCTTTAGACGACTTGTGCAAAAAATGGAAGTTGTTTAATCTGTCAGCAGTCACTAACTAGGTGGGCATAATATGTTAGTGCTTGGTATAGATTAAAACATTTTTCATATGTTACCGTACAGGTGTGTATTATTATGCAACATATGAAAAAAGCTGACTATTGGATTTACAAGTACAAGCAGCATTGGATAAAATCAACATGACATAGTCTGAAGTCCAGTAGGATGGATATAATTTGGAAATTGTTAAAAAAAAAATCAGTACTTCAGGGATCCTTACATTGTGCTGGTTTATTTCGTTGCTGGTTTAGAGCTTATGGGGTTTTCACTTATTTTGGGAGGTTTGTTTAATAGTACGATTTTGCAGAAGATGAGTCATCTCTGGGCATTTCTAAGGACAAGTGTATTGTATTAGCAAATGTAAGAATAAAATTACATAGTGATTGATTGGTTTGAACCTTCTCTCTAGCTACTAGATTTGTATCTGGTCTGCAAGATCAATTGAACTTCTGTTTTTATGTAAAAGAATCTTGTTTATTTTTTATTTTGAAGTATGTTCTTAGCTTTCATTAGATTCTGCTAACTTGGAATTTGCTGGCTTTGTAAAGGGCTTGGCAGAGCACACATTACTGATGTTGATTCTTATAAGGATCTGCTTTATTCTGCTAAATATCATGTCACATAAATTGATGATAAAAACAAATGTATAACATTTTAAGGAAATTGTGCTACGTTTCTCAATTGCTTTTGTCATACCTTATTACAACTTAGCATTCTAAAAAAGCAAAAATATAAACAGGACTAAATCTGGGCTTTCACTTTCTTACATTTTTGCTTGGCATCCTATGAAGCAGCTTAATGGAGATTATTTGCAGGCGAAGTTTAATTCTATGAAAGAGCAATTTCTGAAGAAAACTGAAAAAATTTGCTGTGTGGTACATTCTGCTGTTACAAGTAGTAGATGGGTACTTTATTATGGTATGTTTTGCAAGTGTTAAAAGGATTTTTATTATCCTGAGCAGGTGTTCAGCTAAACAGATTTTTGATTAGAAATTGAAATATTTAGCAATAAAGCAGGCAAGACTTTGAGATTTAACAAGACTGTCAGTGAAAAATATGCTTCCCTTTTAAATTACATCTGCTGTTGTCCTTCTTATACAGGGATTCAAACTTGATTTTGCTTTGAATTGTGAATTTGTTCCTGTTGAATTCAGTGACATCCGACAGACAAAGGCAAGCTTTAAAAAGCTGATGAGAGCTTGTGTTCCCAGCACTATTCCTACAGATTCTGAGGCAACGTTCCTTAAAGCACTTGGGGAGTCAGAGTGGTTCCCACAGGTAATTTATATCACAGGTACTTCTAATACTCTATATGCAGTTCTGCTTACATAAAGTAAATTTCAGGCTTTTCTGACAGAGAGCTATTGCGTTCCAACCAGCTGTTCTTCTTTGTTCATTATAATTATTTTGCATACTATCAATTCTGTCATTACATAAGCATTATTATTTTTGTTCAATCATAACATTCCCAAGTGTGGGGAGGCATTTTTTATGACATAATTTGTGGTTTATAACATGGAACACCTTCAGAAGTAGAGATGACTATTTTTTCTGCCTATACAAATTTTATGGTCTTGGTTTTAACTGCTTTCTCTTAGTTTATATATTTTAAAAATCAGTAAAAAGTACAGAACAATAAATGAGCCTTTTAATTTTAAACCAAATATTCTGATGTTCATATGTATTCCCACGCTGAGTTTCCATATGCAGAAGTATTAACAAAGATGCTAGCATCTGTTACCTGTTGTGGGATATGGGGGAGTGTTTACAGTGGAGAAGGGCTTGTGTGTGTGTTAATCTGTTCTCTCCGAATCTGTGCCTTTACTTTCCTGTCCTATATTCCCTTACGTAAAGATTAACCAAACAAAGGCAAAACTGGAAGTAACTTTGCAAGATTCAAATTAAAAAGGATGTGGGAAAGTGAGTTCTTTGTAAATCTAAAACCATTATATGAATATTTTTAACAGTTGCATGGTATGTTTGAAATACTCTGCTGAATATATGCTTTTCAAATGCAACTTATTGTAGAAAACATAATAGGCTTTTACACGGATTTCCTAAGGAGGAGTAACACATTCATTTCAGTAATTATGCAGCAGAAAATGTACTCCTGGCTGAAATGTGCTACAGTGCAAGGAGTGGTTTAACTCCTTCCATTGAGGTGTGATCACTCCTTAGAGAGCATAGGAGCTGGTCATTGCTGTGTCTGGATACCGTGTTCTTCAGGAAGGGGAAAAGTGGGAAGAGCATGAGCATGAAGACTTGACTCCCTCATCATGTGAACATTTTCAATCACAAAGTAGTTGAGCAAGTTGATAAGTGTAGATAAATGAATTGAATGTCACTTTGAAAAAAACATGTCCAAATAGCAGAACAGAGATTAAGGGGAGATTATAACATTGGAGTTACTCTCTTTTGGCATATTTGAGAGGAAGAATAATAGTGTATTACTCTTCGCTCAGGACTATATCATAATGTCACACACTAGCTGTGTGACACTTAACCCATGTTTCTGTCATTTAAACCGTGTCATATGTGAGTTATGTGATAAAGTTAATTTATGACTGATTTGACACATTTTCTGCTATTCCTGTGAAAGAACATAGAAAGAACATCTTGGAAGTGTGATTTTATTGTATTAAGCTTTCCTCTCCTGGGCAATAGAAGTTACACAGTATGTATTTTAGCACTGCATACGCTAAATATTTCTTTATAAGGATGTGAATACATAAGAAGAAATTTGAAGTGCTGCCCTATCTTCTGAATATGAATAATGAAAATAGTATTTGTGTTTCTTTATATTGAATCTGCGTAACCAGATTGCATATCATTTTATTCACTAAGGATGTCAAAAAAGAGCCTTTCTGTTCCACTGCCTAAGAAAGTATAGAGCAATAAACAAACTGCTTGGGTTTTATAAGTGGTGGACTTTTCAATCTTTCCCTATTAAAAACTGCAGGAAAATTAGTTTCTTTTTTTTTCTGAGTAATGGCTATATGAATGTCCAGAGGAGTTAAGTGTTTTCTATCACGATTTCCATGGTGATATTCATAGCATTGGGGTTTTTTTAAGAGGAGAAAAATCAGGCTGCCCTAAACAAGGGTGAATTTTCTAGGGTTTAACTGTTTGGTTGATCTTTTTTCCCTCATTTTGTCCAATTTAATTTTTTTCTCCCTAAGTCACTTTCCTGTGCCTTCTGTACTTTCTGAACTTATTTTTTCCTTGCATAAATGATCTTTGATGTCTCTTGCCTTCTTTTGTTTATTTGATTTCAAATACTTTTTTGTCTTTCCTACTGCTGCTATTGCTTGAATTGTATTCAGTGCTCTGCGAAGAGCAGTTTTATACCACTGTAAAACACGGAATTGCTTACATATTGTCGATTGTGTTGTTTACCAAGAATGCTGTCATAGTGTGTCAAAAAAGGTAGAAACATCATATAGATTTTTCGTTTTAGTAATAACCGTGTGAAGTCTCATAGTAAGATAAAATTGCTCAAATTCACGTAAATTTTTTAACCTGCTTATGCCTATCATGTTTGAATCAATCTCAAGTCAGTAACCCTTTCCAGAGAAAGTAATTAACCCACCTGCTCAATGAATTTTAGTATCTCTGCGTAATGAATATTAGAGTGCAAATAATTAATGTGTCCTCTTTCCATATGTTTTAGCCAGTCTGCCCAAGTATAAGAAACACTAAGCTATCTAAACTATTTCCAGATTTTTCTGTGTTTGTTTATAGGTTTGTTTGGGTGTTGTTGTTATTATTCACTAATTTCCAACTTCAGTGGGATTGAGTATTAGAAATAGTATCTTGTAAATAGCTTACATGAGTTCTTCCATCAAAATACTTAGTGACTTTATGGAACCTTAACATTTCACAGGAAATGATTTTACTGTTAAGCCCAGAATGGAATTTCTCTACAATAAATCTGTCAACTGTGTTGTTCCCATCCTCCTTTTTATGACAGCTGTTTTATTACAGTACTCATTGGGTTTAATATTTTAAGTTCCTATCTTCAAATCTTTGCTTAGTTTTGTTGTAGTTCAGATGAAAGCCCTGATACTGTTACACTTTATAGCTTTCTAATCTGTTGTATCAATGCATTTCTCTGTGCTATTTGTAGATTTCAGAATACATGTTTTAATATTAAATATTAAAATATTCTATTTACTGATAATATCTAGAAATTTATCTTATACTTGAGTGTGTTACTGATTCATAATACTTTATAGCTTCACAGGATAATGCAATTGAGTGTGATCATCTCTGAGCTCCTGGAAAATGGTTCTTCCGTTATGGTTTGTTTGGAAGATGGCTGGGATATTACTGCACAAGTAAGCTGCTATTAAAACCTTGAAATAGCTAACTGTTAAGAAAAACACCATGCAATACCTTTTTACACAAGTGACTGATAATTTGGTCTAACATTAATAAATTTGTGTCATGGCAGCAGAAAAGAAACTATAATGCATGAATCCTTGCATTCATTTGCAGTTTACACCATGAAAGAGTTCTTAAAATGGATTTGTTCCAGAGGTCCTGAT